CATTATAGTTCTGTTTTTCCGCTCACTAACTCCATTTTGTTGTGGAGTATAAGGGACTGTTAGCTGATGTTCTATACCAGCTTTGTCACAGAGTAATTTGAACTGATTTGAAGTGTACTCCTTCCCATTATCAGACCTTAAAGTCTGAATTTTGCAGCCACTTTGATTTTCCACTTTTGCCTTAAAATTCCAAAACACATCAGCTACCTCAGACTTGAATTTTAAGAAAAAAATCCAGGTCAGTCTTGTTAGATCATCAATAAATACAATGTAGTAAAGACTACCATTTAAAGATGGTGTTCTATGAGGTCCACACAGGTCTGTATGAATGAGCTGAAGCTTTTTTGATGCTCTCCAAGTTGTTTTGGGAAAGGGAAGCCTGTTCATCTTTCCAAGTAAACAAGCTTGGCAATCTGTCCACCGATTCTGCAATCTTGGTAGATCATTCACAAGTTCCTTTCTTTGCAAGAACATCATACCTTGATGATGAAAATGACCCATTCTTTTATGCCAAACTTCTGTAGAGTTGTCTGTCATAAGAAAAGCCGTCTGCTCTTCTTCCAAAGGATTGAGCGGGAAACACCTCCCCTCCATTTTGACCTTGAATATCTCTTCGCCTGATGGATCTTCTATCACATAAGTATTGTTTTTGAAGAACAGATTGAATCCGTTCTCCATTAATTAACCAACACTGAGAAGGTTTCTATCAAGGTCTGGAACATACAAAACATTTGCGATAAGCTTAGTTCTAGAGCCACTGGTAATGGCTATGGCGCCCTTGCCTTTCACAGCAAGACACTCACTATTTCCAATTCTAACTTTCTTTGTCTCAGTGTTCCACAATTCTTTGAACAACATCTTATCAGATGTCATGTGGTTAGAGCAACCACTATCAATTAACCAACTTTCACTTGAATCTAGGCTTGTGAAACAAGTTGCAACAAAAAGGTGATCTTCTTCTCGATCAGCAACTTGAGCTTCAACTTCGGGCTGCTGAATTTTGGCTTTACAGATTACAGCTTCATGACCCTGTTGATTGCACTTGCTGCATTTTGCATCAGGTCTCCTCCAACATTTGAAAGGAGGGTGACCTTTTTTTTCACAATGCCGACAAGGAGGATAGCTAGCCTTCTTGCTTTTAGCAAAATTCTCACTATTTTGTCCTTGTATCTTCCTGTTCTACTTCTTCTTGTTTCTTCCATCATATTGATGTTTAACTAATAAGGCTCCTTCAACAATTCCTTCCTGTCTCATTACACGTCGTTGCTCTTGTGCTTGAAAAGCACTTAAGAGCTCCGCTAGTGTAATTTTGGACAAGTCCTTAGTATTTTCTAAGGTTGTAACAGTAGCCTCAAATTTTTCAGGTACTGTTACAAGGATTTTCTCAACAATCCTTGAATCGTTAAAAGTGGAACCCAACAATCTGACTCGATTTGCTATATTAAGAAGTCGGTCAGAATACTCCTTTATGGTTTCACTTTCCTTCATCCTTTGCAGCTCAAACTCACGTACTAAATTTAGCACTTGCATCCCTCGAATTCTTTCATCTCCTTCATACTCAGTCTTGAGATAATCCCATACCTCTTTTGCTGACTTCAGGGACATAATACGAGTAAAGATGGTGGATGAAACTGCTATATACAAGCATGCCTTTGCCTTTGATTTCATGGTTTTCCTTTCCTTGTGATTTTTAATCTGCGCGATTGTGGGATTGTTTGGTAAGGGAACAATCTCGTAATCATCTTCTACAGCTTCCCAGAGATCCAAAGCTTCTAGATATGTCTGCATTCTGACTGCCCAGATCTGATAACTTTCTCCATTAAAAGCTGGTGGTGCCATTGAAGAAAAACTTGCTTCTCCGTCCATGGAATTCACTAAAACAGATTAATGAACACACAAGTCCCTCAAGAATAAAATGCTCTGATACCAATTGTTGTTAATTAATGTGGAAACCCAGAAAAAGAACAAAGGAAAACTTAAGAATAATGAAAGATTAGAACTATAAAGCAATGAAGAACAAGAAAGAAGAGATAACTTTATTTGATAATTCAGTCATTTCTCACTGCCTAAGACTTACACTTATAATAAAGAACTAACTTCATGGTCCTAAAAATTAGCAACACATCTGCTGAAGATAAACAAACTCCTAGAGACTAGGTAAAGAAGTTATTTGAGGAAAACTAAAGCTAATTTACTGCAGTAAATAAATAAAAGGCTGCAGTCCTAAAACATAGCAACTAACAGATAGAATTCATCCATGGAGCCCCTTCAAAATCCCAATTTCAAAGATTGAAATCCACAAAAGCTAGGGTTTGATTCCAAAGTCATCGGTTCCTTTCAAAAATGATTCTAATATTTGAATTAATTTCTAATATGATTTAATTGATGATTTATTATAGTTTTTATGTTGAAATCCACTCGAACCCATGAAATCCCCATATTTCCAAATTATGATCTTGTGATGTGGGTGTGTTGATGAAAGAAGAATATTATGAGATTATGCTTGTAGTAATTGGGTTACTTGAAATATGTTAATATCCATGTCTATTGTAGTGAATTCTAGATATGATGATTGAAAGTAAGTTATGAACCTTGAAAGAGAAAAGTATGAGATTATACATGTTTTCATGAAATTTATTAAGATGCTTTAAGAACACTTTGAGAGTGAAGTGAATATGATTATGATCTAGCTGTTGTGTTATTAAAAGGTTATTATCATATACACATTTATGTATGATTATGATATGATGTGAAAGGATTTCTCACAATATGATGATTTTAGGGTTGAAATGCTTTCTCACCTATTGAATCTATATGTAGACATGGATGGTGAAAGGTTATTCCCACACATGATCTAATGAGCTATCTTATGAATTATGTTGGATTGAGCGTCAACACATTCTTCCATAAATATGAATTTAAGTCAAGACTTAATATGTAATCCGTGGGAAATAATGCTTAGCACCGAGTGGATATTGTATATGAGATGGAAGCTTTTACGCTAGTTGAGTCCGGCTTCCTAATGGGACCTTTTACACTAGTTGAATCCGAGTTCCCAAAGTATGTATCTCATGAGATGGAGACCTTTTACCTTAGTTGAGTCCGAGTTTCTAGTAGAAATCTCCTTATCCCATAAACTACATGCCCCCGTAGGTTAGTGAGCTAATCGATCCACCTAAGCTTAGAGTATGGTTCTACCTTAGGCAAGTAGGAAAACCCTTTTCGGTATGGGTAACACCGGATTCAAACACTTTGAGAGTGAAGTGAATATGATTATGATCTAGCTGTTGTGTTATTAAAAGGTTATTATCATATACACATTTATGTATGATTATGATATGATGTGAAAGGATTTCTCACAATATGATGATTTTAGGGTTGAAATGCTTTCTCACCTATTGAATCTATATGTAGACATGGATGGTGAAAGGTTATTCCCACACATGATCTAATGAGCTATCTTATGAATTATGTTGGATTGAGCGTCAACACATTCTTCCATAAATATGAATTTAAGTCAAGACTTAATATGTAATCCGTGGGAAATAATGCTTAGCACCGAGTGGATATTGTATATGAGATGGAAGCTTTTACGCTAGTTGAGTCCGGCTTCCTAATGGGACCTTTTACACTAGTTGAATCCGAGTTCCCAAAGTATGTATCTCATGAGATGGAGACCTTTTACCTTAGTTGAGTCCGAGTTTCTAGTAGAAATCTCCTTATCCCATAAACTACATGCCCCCGTAGGTTAGTGAGCTAATCGATCCACCTAAGCTTAGAGTATGGTTCTACCTTAGGCAAGTAGGAAAACCCTTTTCGGTATGGGTAACACCGGATTCAATGTTTAGCTCACGTGGTCTATGTCGGTTAAGGCTTATTCCCATAATAACAACAACAATATGAACAAGAATATGAATTATGAACTTTGGTTACTCAAGAAGCTTTTCTTAGTATGGGTGAGATTTATGGGGTCTTATTCATGCATTGCACAAGTACACTTTGACGGTATTTATGATGTGTTCCTCTTATGTTATGATGATCTATGTATTGATTATGTTTATGACTTATGCTTTTCCACTATCTTCAAAATGATGTTTTAACTTAGTAAATTGTGTGCATTAAAATGAAATGTCCCTTTTAGCATGTTTTCAATGTTTTTATGCATGGCTGTTATACTTAGTGCATTTTTGTACTAACGCCTACTTTTCCTACATTTTCCTCCAAGTGTAGCGTCCAGTTCTCAAGGTGATCATCATTTTGGCTAAATCTTGGATTTTCTTATTCTTCAAGCTTGTTGGTGAGTCATCATGATTCGAGGATGGATGCTATCTAATTGGAGTTCTTTTCTTGTATTTCCTTTTCGGACTATGTTGTATGGGTTGTATCCCTTTCTCATTGTAATAGATGGCTATTTTGAAACAAGTCTAGACTTTCGCTTTTCTTTTATGAAAATTTTAAAAATTGAAATGTGTTTTTACTCTTTATTGTTTTATATGTATGTTATGATATGCTAAGTGGCTTACATGGAGCCTTTCGGGGTTCTATGTGCCTTGTTACATCTAGAGTGTACCCCTGGGTCATGACAGATTTCAAGTCTGGGGTGCTGGGGTTTGCGTTGGCCGTGTGGGTGACTGTCTGGACCGTGTTGGAAAGTCTCCGATTGTGGTGTATCTGCGTTGTAAGTGGCTGCCTCAAGTCTCTTTTTCTGTAAAGTTTTGCATTTTGGTTTGTTGTTGCACAGATCTATTTTGTGCCCCGAGAGGTGCTCCATTTTGGAACACATGCTCGGGGGAGGTTAAGGAACTCTTCAAGGAGTCAATTCCGTAAATTACATAGCGATTCCCACATTTCCCAATTTTGACTCTGATATTAGACTCTCTCTGATTTTGGTGATTTTAGTGTCTAGACGACCGTGTTGATGCTGTGATTCTATTTTTTGATAGTATGGCAGCAATCTGAGGCCATTCGGAAGGGAAAAGCTCCGGCAGTGTTATTTGGAGCGCGTGGTTGGCCTTCAAGTAGGCTACAACTTACCTTCCTTTAGATTGAGACTGATCGTGTAATCGCATGCTAAATTATGTGAATCTAGGGTGAGTTTCTAGTATTTCTTCTCTTCTTCTCAGAAACCATGTTGTAGGGTTTATTTTCGAGCTGTTTTGGGGATAGTACCATGCGTCAGAGGGGTTGTTTATCAGTTGGTATTTGCGAAATACATGTTGGGCTATTTATTTGTCTTTGCATGCGTAGTATCTAGTTGGCTATTTATTTATGTTGGAATTTATCTTTGGCCTTAGTCTACGATAGACTATTGTTGTCTTAGACCCATGCACCTGGTTGACTTTGGTATGTATCTGGTGTCGATTTGGATGGACTAGGTCCTTGTAGACCGTTATAGTAGACTTGGGTATGATACTTGAGCCTAGCTTTGACCTTTTATTGCTCGCGATCCTTTTCGATTCTCACCCCATTTTTGTGATGTCGATGCGTTATCAGAGGCGTAGTATTTTCCTTGTTTGGGTGTTTTGCGGTCGATTCTGGTGTATGGTAGTTGGTAGTGGATGTCGATCCACAATGGCTTGGAGTTGATTCACCCATTTTGATATGGTTGGTAGTGGAAGTCGATCAACAATAACATGAAATTTGATATCCTTTACGGAGTTGATTTTAACCACACACTCTGGCTGGCATTGGGCAGGCCCCCCGGGAGTGATAGCTGACTTACCTGGCTGGCATTAGGTAGGGCCCCCAGGGTGATAAACTAGTTGGGGAGTTGGATATAAATTACTTGAGGTCCTCTTCGGAGTTGACAGTCCCGCGCACTATGTCTTGCTAGGGCAGGACCCCTCGGGAGTGTTAGATTGGCACACTTGAGTGGCAAGTGTGGGGTCCTCGGAGTTTTAGCCTATTGGGTAGTTACATTATGGCATTTGGAGGGGATTGATATAACCCCACGGGACACTTCCTTGCTAAGTAATGCCCAGGAGTTGCTGGTGGGCTGTGTGGCTCGATGTGGAAGTTAGATTTGTTGACTAGGTTGGAGTTGTTGTTTGTGTCGGTTCGGAGTTGGGTTTTCTTTGGCTTTCGTAGTTGTGGCTTCTCAGTGTACCTTTCGGGCTTATGGGAGTCCATTCGGGTTCTTGTTTGTATGTGCCTGAGTGTACCTAACGAGTCTTATTGGGTGCCTAGATGGGTTTAGGTTAAATATCCTTAGAATAGCTCTCTAATTGTTCTACTGTTATTTCTATTGACCTCTGTTCGTGTTTGATTCTCTTTTTTTAATCTATTTTTTTTACCTTTCTTTCTCTGTCGGCCTATGATTCATATTGGTCACCTGTTGCTTTGGTATTATGCTACACTCTGCATCTGTTTTTGTGATGCAGGTCTGAGCAGCAACTATCAGCATTAAGGTTGAGACTGCAGTAGTCTATTCTGGAGACGAGGGTGAGTACATGGAATTCTTGGATATCTTGTCTCCATTCCGTATTTACATTTTGACTTGCCTTTTTTTAGGCAGTCTTGTGGTTGTGGTTCACTTTTGGGATTTGTACTCTATAAGTAGTTCTGTACATGTGACTTCCAGGTTCTTGAGTTATCTTTTGTATATATAATTTTGGGTTCACTTCCACCTTCCTGTTATATTTTTTGTTTATTTATGCTTCGTTTAGTTAATAATAGTTCCCCCTAAGTCCCATTACTCTCAAGTTCTAGGATAGGGTTTTGCTTGCCTTTTGGCGGGTTGGTAGGCGCTATCATGGCTCGAGAAATTTGGTCGTGGCAAAGTTGGTATCAGAGCCCCACGTTCATCGGTCTAACTTTTACAAGGCTAAAATATTGTACAGCCCTAAGGATTAGCGAGGAGACGTCTA